GTCAGCCAGCGGTGAGGGGGGGTTTCCAGAGCCAGCCACTGTAGAACAGGGAGGAATAACTACCTCCCTGGAGATATGAAGACTAGATTTTCCTTCTTCCTTCCAATTAGATTTTTCTCAAAGATACTGACGTCTCTCTCCTTCGCCGTTTGACCTGCATCTCACTGCCATAAGAATATCTGCCCAGGTGAGGCCCAGACGTGGCCCTTTGTAATCTTTATGGATTACCTCATCTCAGCAGAAAGTGATCACATGCCTTTGTCCGTGGATTTTTTCTCTTTCCCTTTCTTAGCTCTTGTTTGTGGCTTTAGGTGATTTGGTTGTTCACTGTCATGGCAGCTTTTCATGTGAATGCCCCTTAAAGCCTGGCGAAGGCCAGTGTCACCTGTTATTTCACACTTGCTGGGCAAGATGCCGGGCTCCGGAGCATCATTGGTTGCAAGTGTTTCCTTTTGTGCACTCCATGAAGATGTTTTCCTGCCCTGGCTTTCTCAAGTTTTGCTGGCCACAAGTTCCATCTCCCTTCCTTATGAACTTGCAGCTTGAATCCCAAGGGAGTTCCCACTTTGGAAAAAACCTCCAGGGATTCTGGAACTAGGTCTAACCAGATCGATTAGTGTGAAACCCTGTCCTGGGACAGAACAGACTCCAGGGGAGCGCTATAGGATTCCAGGCCACGTGGGTACTGATCCTCATTGGCGTGTGCGGGTGTGCAGGGGGCCTGGGTGCTCGGCAGGTGCTTTGATGTGTCATAGCCAAGGGGGAAGCAAGGCAGCTGCCCGACCGTCTTCTGAGGGGCTTGCATAGCCTGCCTTCTCTCCCTCCCAGATACACCAGTCCTCTCCTGTGAGACTGTAGGCGCGGCCACCTGAATCCCACTGAAGCCTCATGTGCTCATCCCCATTTCTTGTGCTGCATCAATGCTGTAGAGGTACACAGCAGGCGCAGCGTTGAGGACATAAGGCGGTCTTTGGCCCCATTTCTTCACTTCAGGGTGTGGGCTTTCAGTGGGAAATTGCTGGACCTTAATTCATAGACAGAGTCAGCTCGAGAAGACGATGTACATTCCCTCTGTCTGAAAGGAAAGATGCCGGAGGGCTGGCTGGAACTGGGACGCATAATGAAGATCTGAGTTTGAATTGGTTCACAGAAGAAAGAAAAGCCAGTGCTGCACATAAGTAAGTGAAGCACTTGCAGGAGATTTGAAAGGAAAAAAGAAACCGAAGCCAGTATTTTAATAACTTTTTTTTTTTTCTGTGCGTTTTCTATTGGGCCAGGGGATACTGTCAAAGGGTGAGCTTTTCAGCTTTCTATGAAAATCCCCAGGACCTTCTTTCTTTGGCCATTTCTATGGAAATGTGGCGTCAGATGAGTGATAATGGTGGCCTCCGGTGGCTGGGAAGCCTCACTGCAAGTTGCCTACAGGAGAGACACGCAGAGGAAAACTGCCGACTGCTCTCTTGACTTATCTACATCTACGATGTTGCATTAATGAAAAACGACACTGTGCTAGGCCCGTTCCAGGACATGGATGTGACCACACCCTCTTTCCCTAGGGTGTTTCTGTAGCAAGTTTTCATATTCTTTTCAAACAATGGTTTCTCTGCGTTAACTTTTGAAGAAGAAAAAAAAGAGGTAGGGTAGGCAAACTACCCATGCATGATGTAGAGAGCTGTTGATTTGTTTGTTTTTTTAAAGGAAAACTATTTGTAAGATGTTGCACTAAAATGTTTTATATACACTTCAGAGACCTGTAGTAAATTATGTTGAAAATATGGCTGTTTACATTGACTAGAGTCCACTGTCCTTCTTTCTCCTCGCTAATCAGCCACTCTGTCCACGGAGCTGTGCCCTGGGGGCCTGGAGTCCTGCCCCTGACGTTGGCTTGCTAAACTCAGGGTTTGTGAATTGCGGCTTCTATTATCACGCCTCACCCCCAGTGCAAGTGGCACCTTTGTACAAGTGATAAAAACCACCCCTTTCTCAAGACACTTTACTCTCAGCTGCTGAAAATGTACGTATATCACACATACATACATACACACACATATCCACCCTGACTGTCAAGGGCAGAGTCGTGCACCGCTCAACACACAGGCCTGGAGGCCTGACAGGCCAGTTCAGAATCTAGCTTTCTTTTGGGTGGGAGTGGGGTGGAGGTGGGGAGACAGGATGCAGTGAGAGGAGACTGATAGAGGAGGGGAGCAGGAACCTGGGACAGCGTTCTCCTTTGTCTTGGCAGCAAGAGCACACCATCTTCTTCAGACTCTGTCGTATTGTCCTGACAGTGAAATGCTCAGCAAGCCTTTTCCAGGATGGAGGAAAGCGCAGGAGCTGCGCATTCCCGTGCACTGAGCCCACGGAACACACCCATCTCTGTTCCCTGCACAACTCAAATGCTGGGAGGTTTTGGGGGGAGTTCACCACATCTGCAAATTGAGAAGAATAATAGAATGTTTATAGCAGCGACACGTGATTAGTCAGAACCCATCTGTAATTCTTTAAAATTCACAGAATGCAAAAGGAACTAGATGGAGGTAAAAAGCAGAAGGAGGTACTTCCTTTTCTTCTTCTTCTTTTTAAAACTCAAGCCTTTCAAAAGCTTTAATATGTGCTTTCCTCTGCTCCCCAGCCCCATTTGCTGCATCCTTATCAACTTCTTGCAGCTGCTGGCTTGGTCGGGAGTTGAAATGTGACTGTTTATCTCTTGGGTACCCAGAATGGTTCCATGTTAAGTCTTATGTATTATTTTTGCCTAATTTTTTCCAAATGCTCTCTTTTTGCCAGGGAGCATTTTAAAAAGGGAAACAGAGTATTATGGAATAAAGATTACCCCTCCACACACACACACCCTTCGTGCAAATCCGCCCAGGGTTGATATAAATGAAGTGAATATACACTTCCATATGGGGCAAGGACGATTTTCACGTATGCAGGATTAGAATCAGTGTTTTGCTCTGTCTTTCTAGGATTCCCAAGCTTCTTGGGTGTAGTTCCAAGCTTGGCAAGAACTAGAGCCAGAGAACTAGAGTGGCATGCTGGGAAGAGCAGCAGCCCATCCACGCCACACAAGCAGACTGAACGAGCCCTCCTTTTTTCCCCTTCTAGTCCATGATTCTTTACAGTGATGAGCAGATAAAACTGGACCTCTCAACACTGGTCACAGGATGTAAAATACATCCAGCCCTCCTTTGGGTGGCCAGTGCTCAGTATATGGATAGGGCCTTTTGGCCCATCTGCCTAATGCATTGCAGGTCCAGCCTTTCTGAGCCACTTTTGACTCATGAAGTCTGCTAGACCAGGCATATAAGGGCTTCTAAAAACGTTTGCTGGAAGCACAGCATTTCTCTTGATGAAAGAGCTGGCACCATTCGTTGGCCAGAGAAGCAGCCAGTCGAGGAAGACCTACTAAACCATTCCTTGCCTGATACCTGGAGACCATGACCTGGGGAATACTTCCCAGCCCAGGTGACTGGGCAGTCCTTTCCTCAGCCCTGCTCTCGAGGGGGCCGACAGCTTTTGCTGGACAGTCCAAACAGCAGTATAGCTGCCCATCCTGTATGAACGGGTAAGAGTGGTACTTTGGACTTACCCTGGGTTGGACTCCCAGTTCTGCACCTTACTCTGTGTCCTTGGGCAAGTCATTTACCTTCTCAGAGCCTCAGTTTCCTAATCTGTAAAAACAAGGACAGCAATAAGATTAAATTAATGCAGGTAATGCACTTAACACAGGGCTTGGCTCATAGTAAGTACTCAACAGATGTTTGCTGTTATATCACTTCCCAGCTCAAAAACTTTGAGGGGCTCCCCAGTGTTTAAAGTTCTGATTCCATCTTATCTTTCCAAGTTAGCCCGAGTTCTTACCAGCCCAGAGCAGAGGAGAAACTTGATCGTCTCACATTTTGCGCTACACACTGTACCTGCCTTGTGTTCCCAATATCTTCAGATGATAGGGAATGTTCTAAGCTCATGGTACAGAACATCAGTCCCAGAAATTTCACGGATATAGACACCTTCTACAATTTCATGGCTAATGTAAGAAATAATTTATGAATTCTTAACAGGGTAGTTCAAGTGTCTTGAGTGGAGGTCCCCACCTGAGGGTGATGGTAATGACAGCAACAATAAAGCACACTTCCACCGCTTCACAACTGGCAAACATGTTGGTGTTTGTCGGCACGTCAGAGAGTCCCGTTCAAGAGTCCAGCTCACGGGAGGAGTTTCCTGCTCACATGGTAACGAAGAGTTCCCTCAACTGCAATGGCTGAGCAGGGATCATTCTGGTGCCACTGTCTGAAAGAATGGGGGCTGACCGGGAGACTGATGCCAGTAGCTGGTTCTGGGAATACAGTAGTAATTGAGTCTGGGATCAGATGGATTTGAGGGGAGAGGACTAGCGAATAAAATGCGGAATTCCAACCGCCCGCTGCAGCACGAGGGAGAGAGGTTTGGGGAGGCCAAACGGAGAGGGAGTGAGCAGCGAGGGCGAGTCCACAGTAGAGATGGAGGAAGAGTGAAACAAAGAGGAAACGGAGAAAGGAGAAACCCAAGGCTGGAAATCTCAGTTCCCAGTGAGGGAGTGTTGGGGTGAGGTCCGTCTTAACGAGAAGGTGGCTGCACTTGAATGAGAAGCAGGCACTTGGGGGAGGGGTATTGGGGCCGCACCAGGGGACCCCACACAGTCTAGCAGTCGTCTAGGATGTTGCCCGTTTCCTTTTGTCTTAATATTTGAGGAAGCTGTCTTGTCCAGGGTCGTAGTAGCGAAGTGACTGGCAGGAAAAGCGAGGCTGCGCGACTGCGGCTGCTGGAAAGCGCTAAAGGAATAAAGCGCTTCAGAACCTCCCTGTCCCGGCACAGAGCTCTGCTGTCACCTCCAGCCGAGTGGGGCGCAGTTTTCGGGGAGCGACGGTCCGATACCCCCGGCTATGGGGGCGTCTCCATCACGTTCCAAATGCCAAGGAAAAGTGCGGGAGGTGCGGGAGGAACGAGGATAAACCTGGTGTGAAAACGCAAGCCACTTTTGGGGGAGAGCTCCACAGAGGAGGGCGGGGGGCGGCAGAAGAGCAGGAAGTACCCGGGGCCCAGACCGCGTTCTCGGGAGGGGGGAGAAAAGGCGCACCAAGACGTCATCCGGGGCCTGGCGGGACGCGCGGGGCGGGGCGCACCGCGGGGCGGGCTCTCTCTCCGTCCGCCAGGCGGAGGCGACGCCCGGCTGGGTCCCTGTCGTGGAAGCTGGCCCGTCCGCTATGGCCGCGGGGAGCGCCGCGGGGTGGGCCGTGGGGGCCCTCGGAGTGGTCTGCCTGTTGCTCCGGTTGGGTGAGTGGAGGCCTCCCCCGGGAGCCCGCGGGGACCGGCAGCGCGGGGTGTCAGTGGCCCCGGGGCTCCAGGGTCGGGTGGACGGGCGCGGCCCGAGGCCGCTGCAAGGTGGGGTGGTGGGGTTGGCGTGGGGCACGCAGCCCGCGCGCGGGACTTGGTCGTGTCACCCACAGGTCTCCCTAGGGTGGTCAGCAGGAAGCGTGGACCGCAGACTCTGAAGCCTGTTTGGGAAAAAGAAGGACGCGACTCCTTCTCGTTCACCTCCCCTAGGCTCTTTCCTCCCTCTGGGGAGCCTTCTTAACCTCCACGATCCCCGATTCCCACTCGTGTTCCTCCGGAAGGGGTGCCTTTTCAGTGCGACTCAAGTGACTAAGTTACTGCTTCCAGCCGGAGGTGCCGTAGCGCAGAACTTGAGGGGAACTTGGTTCGCCGCTTCCGCAGCGCGGGAGCTTGTCTCGGGCTGGCCTCCCTGGCCAAGGAACGCGCTCTTTGCGCGCGCGCCGGCCTCCGCGCTGGGGGTGGGCGCGCTGCGGCCAAAGCCAAGTATGCCCGCGCCCGCGCGGAGGGCGGCAGTTCAGAACTGCCCTGCGGCGGGGAGGCGAGGGCCTCAATTCAGAATTCCTAAGGAGTGTCGGCTGGTCCCCTTTCCCCTCCCTTCCGGACATGAAAGGACTAACATGTGAGTGTCTAGGACTGTGTTCATCCCTTTCACGCTTCTTCAGCTAAATCGTCACGACAGCGCCATGAAATAGTTATCTTTGTCTCAATTTTTTACCTCCCCACCCTTAGCAACCTCTCCCCACACAGGCCCCTAGTTAAGTCATAACCAAACCCCTGAAGCATAGTAACAACCCCCTTAACTAGTACTTCTTTTCTTGGAATTTCCTGCCACCGGCGCCTTAGCCCACACCCCTGATGAACATCCCCTCTCCACTCTGCGTTCAGCGTTTATTGAGTGCCTTTGGGGTGCATGCATCTGTGGCTTACAGCTTGCGGAATGGGGGGTTGAGATACGTTCAAAAGAACCTACAGTGTAAGGCACAGAAGTAAATGTTGTAAGAGAGGTAAAGTGCTGTGGGCGTGCAGGGGGAAGACAGCAACATCTTTTGTGAAATCAAATATCTTTTGTGAAATCAAATATCTTTTGTGAAGCAGAAACTTCATGGAAGGGAGGGTATTTGAACCTGACCTCCGAGGACAGGTGGTATGTGAACATGCCGTGATGTGGGAAAAGATTCCAAGAGCAGGAGACCAGGAAAGAAAGACAGGGGAGCAGGGTGTAGAGGGTGACCTTGGGCAGTAGGGAGTCATCAGTGTCACCGGAGAGTTGCAGTGCCCACGGGAGCTTGAGGCCCCCTAGGGGAGCCCTGAATGTCCTCTTTGGGAGCTGGGATTCTCTTCTGCAGGCGAAGGAGACCTCTTTCTGGGCCTGACAGGATCAGAGCCATCCACTTAGGAAGAATTAATCTGGCAGCAGTAAAGAGAAATGATTGTAGTTGAGAGGAATTGGAGGTGGGGGACCAGGGCAGGTACCATCACAGACCCCAAAGAGCTTTGAGGGTTTCATATGCTGGTGGCTATGGGCAGGAGGGAGAGGCATATGCAGAGGTTGAAGGGATAAGGTAACTCCTCCAGAGGCACAGGTCTCTCCCCGGTCCCAGAATGCACCTTTGGTCACTACTGCCTGCTCTATGCTCTCTCTTCAACTGAAAATCCGGTTTACCCATCAAGCCACACCTCCTCTAGGAAGATCCTCTGAACTAGCTGGTTTCTCCCACCTAATTCATTTATTTATTCAGACGTCATTTCGTTCCGCAAGCATGAATATCGCCTTCTCTGAATAGGCTTTGCGCTAAGGGAAACCGTGTAGGTCTGCAGTGAGCCCTTTGGGGGCCAAGCCCACCCCACTAGGGAAAGCTGCCTAACAGTGATGAAGAGTATCTGCTCCCAGAGAGATGCCTGGCCTCTGACCTGGCCCCGCGCCTCGCAGTTAAAACTTCTGGATGTTACCTTACTTCTGTGTGCCTCCACACCTTTGCCTTTAAAGAGAGCGCCACTCACATGAGAGAAAGGATAATAATAATATCTGCTTAATAGGATGACTGTGAGCATCAGCCATTCAACACGCACTTATGGACTTTCAACTATGTGTCAGCACTGGGAAGCTTACATTACGGTGGGGGAGAGACAGTAAGGAAATAAAGCAGTAACTATGTAGTTGTTGGGTGGTGGTGAACATTTACTAATATAGAGATTACTAGTGCAGAGGCAAGGGAAATGGAAGTGGTTAATAGTTCCTTTTAATTTTCTAAAATTCTGGAAGATTTAAAATCTTTAGAATAGTTGCCAAAATAGTAAAGTGAACACTTACACACCTTTCTTCTTGAATCACCACTTATTAACATTTTATCACATTTGGGTTACCTCTCTCTATATACACCCACACCCATCCAGTTAACTTTTTTGTTGTTGTTGTTAAATCATTTGAGAATTGCAGTTCTTATGACAACTTAACCCTAAACATTTCAACATAGGTCTTTTTTTTTTTTAATATTTGTTTATTTATTTTGGCTGTGCCGCGTCTTAGTGGCGGCACGCGTGCAGGATCTAGTTCCCCAACCAGGGATTGAACCTGGGCCCCCGGCATTGGGAATGAGTAGTCTTACCCACTGGACCACCAGGGAACTTCCAACATAGGTTTTCTAAGAATAATATGTTTGCAGTTAAGCCCTGGCACCATTATCACAGTCAGGAAATATAGCTTGATACAATACTGTTTTCAGATAGGGTCCAGAAGCCGATCTTGGATCACACACCAGATTTGGTAGTCATTCCTCTTTAATCCCCTTAAATCTAAAAATCTAAACTGTTGCCAGCTTCTTTTTTTTTTTTTTTTTTTTTGCGGTACGCGGGCCTCTCACTGTTGTGGCCTCTCCCGTTGCGGAGCACAGGCTATGGACGCGCAGGCTTAGCGGCCATGGCTCATGGGCCCAGCCGCTCCACGGCATGTGGGATCTTCCCGGACCGGGGCACGAACCCATGTCCCCTGCATCATCGGCAGGCGGACTCTCAACCACTGCGCCACCAGGGAAGCCCAAGCCAGTTTCTTTTTCTCTTTTCTACTTTATGGTATTGCCCTTTTTGAAGGGGTCTGGACTAGTTTTTTTTTTTTTTTTTAATAAAAATGTCCCTCGATGTTGAAGTACATGCTTAGATTCTGGTTTAAACATTCCTGGGCAGGAATTCTCACAGGTGTGCATCTCATCAGGCTGCAGATGCAGTCCATTTGTCTCATTATTGGAGACGTTAATGTTGATGATTTGGTTAAGGTGAGGTGCACCAGGTTTCTCCATTGTAGAGGAGAAAATACAAGCGTGTGAGTACAGATTTTGCATGCTCGGTTCCTAACCACTGGAAATATCGCAATAAAGCAAGCCGTAACGAGTTTTTTGATTTCCTAGTATATTTAAAAGTGATGTTTATACTATACTGTAGTCTATTAAGTGTGCCATAGCATTATGTCTAAAAAATGTACATACCTTAATTAAAAGATACTTTAGTGCTAAAAAATGCTAACTACCATCTGACAGTGCAGAGTTGTCACAAAATTTTAATTTGTAAAAAAACACAATATCGGGCTTCCCTGGTGGCGCAGTGGTTGAGAGTCCGCCTGCCGATGCAGGGGACACGGGTTCGTGCCCCGGTCTGGGAAGATCCCACATGCCGCGGAGCGGCTGGGCCCGTGAGCCATGGCCGCTGAGCCTGCGCTTCCGGAGCCTGTGCTCCACAACGGGAGAGGCCACAACAGTGAGAGGCCCGCGTACCGTAAAAAAAAAAACAAAACAATATCTACAAAGCACAGTAAAGCAAAGCACAATAAAATGGGTATGTCTATAATACCTGATTCATTAAGTAACACTTTGAGATTGTGTGAATATCCTGTTTTCCAACAATCTTTCACCCAATGTTTTACAACCCAGTGGCGATTCTTCCCGCTAAAATGTTTGTAGATAGCAATTTTGTATCCCTATTTTGTTTATACTTTATTGACATTCTTCAGTAACAAAGAGCTTCTGCACCTCCCTTTTTAATTTTCTTTTTTTTTTTTAATACTAGTAAGGACTCGTGTATTATTTAAGATGGCATTCCTGTCATTTTTCATTTTGATGCTCAGTGATTCTGTATTTGGCAAGTGAGAACCCTTCCAAGTTTCAGTGTCCTTTTGCCATGTTTCCCTCAGTTTTGAGCACTTTCCTTACTTTCTGGTGTAGAAGGGTGTTCTGGACTCATTTTGTTCTTTTCCTGACTCAGCCTTGGAATCATTAGATTCCTTTTTTCCTGTTAGTGGGGGATGGTATTTAGAAATTAAGACCTGGGTGCTAGGTGTGCTCAAGACTCTTGGAGCCATAGCTTCTAGGCCCTGTCAGTTTTCAGTGCTAGGAAATAGTTTTCACAAAGTCAGGCATTCATCTTGTTACTGCAAAAGCTAATCCAACAATTCAGTTTTTCCTTTTCCTCCATTCCATATTAGTACCTCCCTTCCCCAAGGCGTGAATTCTATTCTTAGTAGCATTAGTATATTTTCCAAATCTACATTAAACACAAACTAATTCCATAATTGCTATGCCAATACTACTCCCAAGCACAAACTTTACTAAATACAGTTCAAGATTTCTTAGCAGTTCTTTTTATTCTTTCATATATCCCACTAAATATGTATAGAACACTGTATTTTCAAGTTATTTGAATTTTTCTTCTGTGTGGTTATGTTATCAAAGTGATACATAGTTGCATTAATTTGTTTCTCTTTCTATTCAGTTTTAGGGTTTCCCCCACCTTGATTTAATTTTTAAATATGTAAACTATTAACATGGTTCAAATCAAAACCATATACAGCTGGCCTTCCATATTTGCAGATTCAACCAGCTGCAGATTAAAAATATTCAGGAAAAAAAAAATTCCAGAAAGTCCCAGAAAGCAAAACTTGAATTTGCCACATT